TCATGATACTTTCTTTTTTTAATTTCTTTCTTTCTTTTCTTCACCAAGAGATTTTTTTCCTCTTTCTTTTTTTTTTATTTTTTTAGATATTCACTAACTTCTTTTCTTTTCTTTCTTTCTTTTTTACAATTCCTATTAAAAAAAAAAAAAATGTTTTCATTTTTTTTGCATTTTCTTTTATTTCTTTTAACCTTTCTGACTAATCAAAATTTTTTCTTTCTTTAAAGTTATTTTTTCTTTCTTTCTTTTTTCTTTTTTTTATTCTTTTCTCAATAAATCAGTGTTCTTTCAATTTTTCTTTCTTTTTTTTTTGTTTCTTTTTTTTCACTTCTTTCTTTTTTTTCTTTCTTTTTTTTTCCATTTTTCTTTCGTTCTTTTTTCTTTCTTTTCTTTGCTTTCTTTTTTTCCTTTTTTCTTTGTAATAAAAATAAAATGTTTCTTTCATTTTTCTTTCTTTTCTTTCATTAGGAAATTTCTTTTTACCTATAAAATGCATTTTCTTTCTTTTTTCTTTTCTTTTTTCTTTCAAAAATTCATTGGGAAATTCTTTTATTATAAAAATTCATTTCTTTTTTCTGATTTTACTTTAAAAATTCTTTCTTTCTTTGTTTTTTACTTTCAAAAAATCATTGTTCTTTGATTTTTCTTTCTTTTTTTCTTAGGGAACCTGATTTTACTATAAAAATTCTTTGGGAAATCTTTTTTCTTTAAAAATTCATTGGGAAATTTCTTTTATAAAATGCATTGGGAAATCATTTTTTTATAAAAAAATTCATTTTTCTTTTTTCTTTAAAAACCTAACCTCTTCTTTTTACTATAAAATGCATTTCTTTCTTTTTTGTATAAAACTGCAATAAATCAGTGAAATTCATTTTTTTTTTTTTTTTTTCTAAAACCTATTCTCACTAAATCTTTCTTTTTTTCTTTCTTTGCTTTCTTTGTAATAACCTTTATTATAAAAATGTTTTTCATTTTTCTTTCTTTTTTTTTTATTCTAAAATGCATTCTGACTAAATTTAGTTTTACTTTAAAATTTATTCTTTCTTTCTTTTTTCTTTTCTTTTCTAGTAACATCTTCTCTATCATTTTAATTATAAAAATCCTTTGGGTACTGATTTTTCCAATCTCCAGCTAATTAAATCGCTCAACATTTTATTTACCATTCCAAAAAAAAGCTTTGGATAGAATGATTTTTAGCATATTGGTAAAGACTGTTTTGGGAAATGACTTTTACATGTGACAAAAATGTCTTTCAAATCTTTTTAGCATTAAAATTTATCTTCGAAATTTCTTTTACCTGATGCCTTACATGTAATGAACCATATTGCATTACGAATTAGAAAAAGAAAAAAATATAGTTTTTGCTTTTTTTTCCCTTCGCATTCCAAAGCATTTTAACGCTTCATTCAAATCAAATCTAAGTTTTTTCATCCCGTTCATATATATTCAACATATCGCTTTTAATCATGATACTCACATTCAAGAGACAGATAATTCTAAAACGTAAAGTGACCAAGAGATTCTGACAATCGATTTTCCACAGGTTATAAAAATGACATTGAGAAAAGTTTAGATTTTTACTATGGAAAAAAAAAAAAAAAAAAAGACACTGGATTTTATTGCAGCGAATTTGAAAAATGGAAAAGTAAAAAAAATATGATTTTATTATAAAAATATCGTAAAGCATTGGCAAATGATTTTTACTATAAAATTTGTAATAAATATACGTAAATGTTTAAATGGATTTACTACAAAAATGCATTGGGAAATGATTTTAATATAAAAATGCATTGGGAAATGATTTTATTATAAAAATGCAATGGGAAATGATTTTACTATAAAAATGCATTGGGAAATGATTTTACTATAAAAATGCATTGGGAAATGATTTTAATATAAAAATGTATTGGGAAATGATTTTATTATAAAAATGCATTGGGAAATGATTTTACTATAAAAATGTATTGGGAAATGATTTTATTATAAAAATGCATTGGGAAATGATTTTACTATAAAACTGCATTGGGAAATGATTTTACTATAAAAATGCATTGGGAAATGATTTTACTATAAAACTGCATTGGGAAATGATTTTACTATAAAAATGCATTGGGAAATGATTTTACTATGAAAAATGCATTGGGAAATGATTTTACTATAAAATGCATTGGGAAAGGATTTTAATATAAAAATGCATTAGGAAATGCATTATAAAAATCCACTGGGAAATGATTTTAATGTAAAATTTCTTTGGGAAATGATTTTGACATAAAATTCATCGGGAAATGACTTTAATAAAAAAATGGACTGGAAAATATTTTTACACAGGTATGGAATTAATAAAAATGTCCACAATTACTACCACACCACAATTAACATTACCGTATCAGTCCACAATTATAATTTCTTCCCTCCATCAAAATTAATACCAACACATAAATACTAATAAGCATTATGAATTGTAGTTTCTACCATTTACATATGCGCAATCGCCAAAAAGCAAGCAAATAATCGGCTTTAAAATAATAACAAAACAGAATTTAAAAAAATTAAAAATAATAGCAATATTACCTACCATAATCTTACGCAGACCCCAACATATAAAAAAACAGACTGATAGAAGATGTGTGAACACGTGTGAATACGTATATATGTGTGTGCGAGAAAATATTATTCAGAGAACAAAATGGACGAACGGTCTGCGCGTTGACGCTGCAACTGTCGAAAAATATTCGCTACACAATCCAACATTGAATACAGCGACCAAATGCGTACGTATGTATGCAACGACATATGGATTCGCATATATGCCCAGTCCGTCACTGTTCATATATCTTTATGTTTGTGTGAGCTCCAGTGAAAGAGCGTGCGCATGTGTGTGTCTGCGTAAGTCAATGAGTGAACGTGCGTGTATGTATGTTTGCGTAAGTATGACTGGGTTTCCAACGAGAATTTTTCCTCCCACTTCAAGAAAAAAACAACGATATACGCAACCATATATAAACACAAAGTTTTAAAAATTAATCAGTTTATCTGACGATCGCAAATAGCGTGAAACCCAGGGTCATAAGCTCACACCAATCCATATATATATATATATATATATATATATATATATATATATAAATATATATATGACATAAATTTTCCCACTCATCTATCCTCTCTAAATTTTAAATACTTTTAGAGGTTTTTCATTTGACATTTTATCTCTAAAACGAAATCATTCTCCAGGTGTTCAATCCATGGTATTATCAGCATCATTTCTATTGCTTTAAGTCTCTTCTTCATCTATGAGGAGATTGTCCAACATTCACTGCCATATAATTTTAAATGTCTATTCTTGATTATCATAATTGTCCAGCTTTTCTGCCATATAGGGGGCAAGATACTACATAACAGTTCAGTAAAACAAACTTGCTTCAAATCTCTTCTTCATCAAATGAGGAGATTGTCCATCATTCACTGGTAGGACTGATATTACATAACAGTTCATCATTTCTTTTTCTCTTGCTTTAAGTCTCTTCTTCATCTGTGAGGAGATTGTCCAGCATTCACCATATAGGAGGACTGATATTGCATAACAGTTCAGGAGGACTTGCTTCAAGACTTCATCTGTGTGGAGATTGTCCAACAGTTCTGATATTACATAACAGTTCAGTTTTTTTTTGTTTCTCTTGCTTCAAGTCTCTTCTTCATCTGTGAGGAGATTGTCCAGCATTCACTGCCATATAGGAAGACTGATATTACATAACAGTTCAGTACACTTTTCTTTGTTTTCTCTTGCTTCAAGTCACTTCTTCATCTGTTTTGTCCAGCATTCACTGCCATATACGAGGACTGATATTACATAACAGTTCAGTACTCTTTTCTTTGTTTCTCTTGCTTCAAGTCTCTTCTTCATCTGTGAGGAGATTGTCCAGCATTCACTGCCATATAGGAGGACTGATATTACATAACAGTTCAGTACACTTTTCTTTGTTTCTCTTGCTTCAAGTCTCTTCTTCATCTGTGTGGAGATTGTCCAGCATTCACTGCCATATATGAGGACTGATATTACATAACAGTTCAGTACACTTTTCTTTGTTTCTCTTGCTTCAAGTCTCTTCTTCATCTTTGAGGAGATTGTCCAGCATTCACTGCCATATTGGAGGACTGATATTACATAACAGTTCAGTACTCTTTTTTTTGTTTCTCTTGCTTCAAGTCACTTCTTCATCTGTGAGAAGATTGTCCAGCATTCACTGCCATATAGGAGGACTGATATTACATAAGAGTTCAGTACTCTTTTCTTTGTTTCTCTAGCTTCAAGTCTCTTCTTCATCTGTGAGGAGATTTTCCAGCATTCACTGCCATATAGGAGGACATATTACATAACAATTCAGTACTCTTGTCTTTGTTTCTCTTGCTTCAAGTCACTTCTTCATCTGTGAGGAGATTGTCCAGCATTCACTGCCATATAGGAGGACTGATATTACATAACAGTTCAGTACACTTTTCTTTGTTTCTCTTGCTTCAAGTCTTTTCTTCATCTGTGAGGAGATTGTCCAGCATTCACTGCCATATAGGAGGACTGATATTACATAACAGTTCAGTACTCTTTTCTTTGTTTCTCTTGCTTCAAGTCTCTTCTTCATCTGTGAGGAGATTGTCCAGCATTCACTGCCATATAGGAGGACTGATATTACATAACAGTTCAGTACTTTTTTTCTTTGTTTCTCTTGCTTCAAGTCTCTTCTTCATCTGTGAGGAGATTTTATCCAGCATTCACTGCCATATAGAAGGACTGATATTACACAGTTCAGTTCTTTTCTTTTGTTTCTCTTGTTCAAGTCATTCTTCATCTGTGAGGAGATTGTCCAGCATTCACTGCCATATAGGGACTGATATTACATAACAGTTCAGTACAAGTCTCTTCTTCATCTGATGTGGTCATCTTCGCTCGACAAAAACTCTTGACCAAAGTTCTTGCTGTTGGATACAGTTTATCGTCATACCCA